TCTTCAATATCTATCTATCTATCTATCTATCTATCTATCTATCCAATATCTATCTATCTATCTATCTATCTATCTATCTATCTATCTCTTCAATATCTATCTATCTATCTATCTATCTCTATCTATCTATCTATCTATCTCTTCAATATCTATCTATCGATCTATCTATCTATCCAATATCTATCTATCTTTCTATCTATCTATCTATCTATCTATCTATCTATCTATCTATCTCTTCAATATCTATCTATCTATCTATCTATCTATCTATCTATCTATCTATCTATCTATTTATCTATCTCTCTCTTCAATATCTATCTATCTATCTATCTATCTATCTATCTATCTATCTATCTATCTATCTATCTCTCTATCTATATATCGATCTATCCATCTTTGTCTTTTTCTCACGTTTTCTCTCTTCTTCCTAAACCTGTGAAATCTATCTATCTATCTATCTATCTATCTATCTATCTATCTTATGCAGAGAAAAACAGTGTAGTGAATTTTCTATGTCATTAAGCTGCCAGTTTCAGAGATGATGGTAAAGAAGACGATGAACAGATGTGTAGTTGTCCTAGTGAACTTGCAGATTTGCTGACATTTACTCATCGTTGTTTAGAACATTTTGTCTTTCTCGGCTTTCTCCGAATTAATTATTTTTGTGTAGCCAACAGAGCAGCAAGCAAATGAGTAAAGAGTAAAATAGTTTTCATGTCCTCCAAATTTTACTCCTCCCTAAATGTGGGACCCATGCCGCAGACCACAATCAATACTGTAGCATTTTACAAAACATTGCAAAGCATTATATATATATATACGCACAATAATATATAATTGGTTCATTGTCCCTTAAGGTACTCACCAAAAAAAATCCACCCTCACATGTCCAACTCCTTCTCGTCCTTGACTTCACTCTTCATTCTTTCGTCTTTTTTTCTCCGCTCTGCTTCTTGTCCTCTGTCGTTGCCCAATCGCCTCTCTCTATGTCCTGATTTCTCATTGGGCTTTGCACTGGATGGCGACCACTTCTCTCCCTGGGCTCCGGTATACATGGAGTAGATATCTGATGACTTACAGCTCACCCCTTCAGCAAACAGCAAGGATGCTCATTGTTAGACTGGTTGCACAGGGTGATGTGAAGATGATTACACATGATGACAGGTAGATATTTCAGGAGTTGCAGCAATCTGCTGTTAGATCTAGTATTAACTGGGAATTTTCTCCCCCAGTAGCTATATTTTTAATAGTTTGTACAGAAATTGCTCCACTAACAGAATGATTCATGAAAAAGGCAGAAACAAAATCATAGTTTGCATTTTGTTCTTTCCTTGTTTTGTCTTGCATTTATCTTTGGACATGGACAGGCTAAGGCCACTTTCACACCTAGGCATTCCAGAAACAAGCATTTCAGCCTGCGTTTTCAAAATTGCACAATGCACTTGCAGTGCCATTATTTCGTAGCCTCCCTAGTGGTCTGATTATGTCAGTATTTCTGTGCTCAAAGCGGCACATTTTTTTGCATGGAAATATGTTTTTTTTTTCTTATAGGCCTGTAATTTTTAGGAATAACTCACTGAAATCTGTCCGAACAAGAGTCTAGTAAACATTCCGGGTATGTTAAAATTTGAAACACAAAATCATAAATTATAATTTAATAAATAATCATAAAAAATAATAATAATAATAAATTTAATTCAATAATATAATCAAACCAAAAACACTGAAATTTGAAATATAGCGCCAAGTTCGCACATCACTGAGCAAAGTCGCAAAATCGTTTTCAGTGTCTGATGACGAATTTCCCCCACAAATCATTATCAATCAATTCTGCAAGTGGTTCTGATATACTATCTCTGTTCTCTAGCTGATCTAAAACCGATTTTGACCTTAAAGGGGCACTTTTTGGACGCCATGGACGTTTCTGGGTTTCCAGGCAGAAAGAACAGTAAAAATGCAGGTAGGGCGCCGGACAAAGCACTCGGGACAAAACGTATGTGAAATGGTTTCATACAGTAATGTTTTAAAATGTGATTTTAGTGTATTTCGTGAATGTCACTTTTTCACATTTTTAAATTTCCTGCTGGTTCCGTCCCCTGTACGTCCCGACGTCGCAAGGAACGGATCCCGGAAGACGGATGCCGGCATCGGCCAGAGGACATTTCAGGGGACACTGCAAGAGGGACATCGCGGGAGCACAGGACAAGGTAAGTGATCGAGGGATCCCGGAGCAGCGCCGCATGATAAGCCCAAGTGTAGCTCGGGGTTACCGCTTGTGGTGCTGAAACTTTACCCCGAACTACACTCGGGAATACCGCCAGGGAGGTTAATGGTACTCCAAACATGGACAGCAGTCCCACATTTTGTCATGTTGTAAATCATTAAACGCAAAACACACTTGAGCTACTTTGGTGCGTTTATAACGCTTAGATCAAAAGAATGGACTTCTCTATGCTGTTGAGCAATAAATGCATCAAAAATTATTGCTGCAGGGGTGAATGAGGCTTAAAGCCAGAAACACAACGGAAGGGAAACAATTGCAAGGGTTGCTAAGAGGGGTCACAAGAGTCTCTTTAGCTCAAGTAACTTGTAGCCATTGCCTATGGCTAGCCATACACTATACAATTTTCTGTCCAATTTCCTTTAGATTTACCTTCAATAATGTAGTGCAAGGGCTTACCTAAATGGATACAATTGAAAGTGTTGTTAAGGTTTGACCTCATATTATATGTTTTTTGGTAAATCTAAAGCAAAATTCTCAAGAAATTTGTGTAATGGATGGCCAGCCTTAGTCTTTGCACCGCTCGTTGGGAAGTTTTTATAAAGTAGAGGATGTTATGTTTTTCCATAGCATGCTTTTGTGTGATTTTTCATTGTAATCTATTTTTTTTTGGGGAGGGGGGAAATCAATCATAATCACACATTCATGCATACCAAGTGGAGGCAGAAAATATATCTCTGACTGACACCTCTCCAAACCAGTCATTTTTTCCTCCTGTTCTTAAAGTGGTTGTAACGCCTTACCTATACCCAGTGAAGTGGCAGAGATTAAACACATCCTCCTACATATGTTGTAGGAGGATGTCTACATCTGTTAAAATTCTAGAATTTATGCAGCTTGTCTGAGCTGTTAGAAAAAAGGGGGTGGGGAGTTGAAATTACACTCTGCAGAGCTTAGGGGGAGCTGATTGGAGGGAAGAGACACACCCACTTCCAAACAGCTCACAGGAACAGAGCTGAGGCTGTCAGTTTGCTGGAGGCCCCCTCCTATGTCACCATTTTTCTTTTTGTGTCAGGAAAACTTGCAGACGTGATTCATGCTGATAGCAGAGGAAGGAAGCAGCAGACAGAAAGTACACTTAGTGTTCTGGATTGAGACAAGTACACAGTATAGAGGGATATGCTTTGTTCATATTTCATGTCTGAGGTTTACAACCACTTTAAATACTTTTCTTGTCAGAGGACACACACAGAACCCTTACTGGGAACTCTGGAAGACCTGGAGGTAGTGGAGGTCTTATGCCTCATGTACACTGCTGCTCCTCAACGTGAGTTTGGCATTTTTTGCCAAAGTCCCTGAACTCCACTCAATAAAAGCCTATGTGTCCATGTACACATAGGCTTTTACCAGAGTTTAGGAGCTGCAGAGTTTAGGGGCAGTTAAACATTTTGCTTCTGATGCAGAATAATCACGTTCAGGAGAGGAACGTTTTGGCCAAAGAACACTAAACGCAGCAAAAAGTGTGTAAACGCGGTTAAACACATCTAAACGCTAGCCACATTTAGCACTTGGGCGTTTATCTATGTCAATGAAAAATGCTCTGACCAATAAAATTAATAAACATTCAAGTGCTAAACATGGTACCGCGTTTAGCGTTTTTTTTCTGCTGCCAGGAGAATTTAATGACTAGGCGAGTTCATGTGCCCATGAGGCCTTCTAGCAGGAATTGTGCAAGGAATACCTGCAGAGATCCTATAAGGAATCCTGGAAGAGCCAGGAGGGATCCTGGGAATACTGTAACCAGTGGTGTCCAGGGGCGGACTGACCATTTGGAAACTCGGGCAGCGCCCGAGGACCCGGGGTCACTAGAGGGCCCCATGAGATGCCCCTGGTACCTTTTTCATAGGCTTTTGTGAGTTTGGGCAAGGACACAGGGGCTCCATGATCCCCTATTGCCCGGGGGCCCCATGAGTTGTCAGTCCCGAAGCAGGTGCGGGGGTGCGAGCTGCACCGGGTGACACCTACCGCATGGGGTGACACCGGACCCGCTCCACGAAAAGGTAAGTTGAAAGCAAGCCAACGGTCCCCGCAGGATGTCCGATCTGCGGATTGGGGAGTATAATGGATTGGAGTCCGATCCATCATGCTCAATCCGCAGATCTGATCCATCCTGCAGGGATCATCGGAGGGGGTGTCACCAAGTGTCATAGAGTCATAGCTCCCCTCCTAGCAGAGATAAGACCATCTGATTTAGTTATTTGAGGGTAGGCTGCCAATATATCTGCAGTGCTGGACTACTGACTATGGATCCACTCTGTATATATATAAAAACAAAAGTACATTTAAAGTAAAGACCGTATACCAAAAGCAAAATAAAAATTATCATCATTTATTATAACGTAAAGCAATCTAAATTGATCAGAAACCACTATAATGCCCCCTTAAATCAGCTTCTTTCGAGGTATATGACAACTTCAATTAACAGATTAAAAACAAATATTTGTAGCAAACAAGTGAGCTGACGTCTGTGGGATAACTATTATATAGTGAAGGGATTGTTTGTGGGATACCGAAATTTCCACAGCCGGCAGGATACAGATCTATCCGCCAGCTCACAGCTGGCATGCCAGTGTTGTGAGGTCCATGTAGTAAATGCCAGTAATTATTAATCCACCGAACAACAGGTAGGGCAGGACGCTATCTCTACATGTGTGACACTCACAGTTTGCCCTGTAGTAACTGTTTAAACATTGTTATCTGATATTTCCATTAGATTATGGAGATTGTGGCTGGACCCAAATTGCTGATTGTAGAGTGATGACACTATAGTGAATGTGCCTCTCGCCACCAGTGGCTGCAGGATGTCTATGGGGTTGATTTACTAAAGGCAAAAAGACTGTGCACTTTGCAAGTGCAGTTGCACTCATTTTCCCCAGAGCTTAACCTCCCTAGCGGTATTCCCGAGTGTAGCTCGGGGTAAAATGTCAGTGCCAAAAGCGGTAACCCCGAGCTACACTCGGGCTTACCATGCGGTGCTGCATAGGGAGTCCCTGCAGAGCTTACCTTGTCCTTCGCTCCCTGCGATGTGTCCCCTGCAGCGTCCCCGGCCATCTCCTCCGGCCGATGCCGGCATCCGGCTTCTGTGTTCCGGTCCCTGTGACGTCGGGACGTACGGGCGCCGCCGGCGGCGGTGAAATTTGAAAATTTAAAAAAATTTTCATTTTTTTCAAAAAAAATTTTACATAGCAAAACATTGCTGTTTCAACCCATTTCACATACATTTTGTCCCTAGTGCTTTGTCCTGTGCCCTGCCTGCATTTTGTCTGTTCTTTCTGCCTGGAAACTGAGAAAAGTCTATGGCGTCCAAAAAGCGTCCCTTTAGGTCAAAAGCGGTTTTAACAGCTAGAGAACAGCGATAGTAAATCAGAACCACTTGCAGAATTGAGTGATAATGATTTGTGGGGGAAATTCGTCATCAGACACTGAAAACGATTTTGCGACTTTGCTCAGCAATGTGCGAACTTGGCGCTCTATTTCAAATTTCAGTGTTTTTGGTTTGATTATATTATTGAATTAAATGTATTATTATTATATTATTATTTTTTATGATTATTTATTAAATTATAATTTATGATTTCGTGTTTCAAATTTTATCATACCCGGGATGTTTAATAGACTCTTGTTCGGACAGATTTCAGTGAGTTATTCCTAAAAATTACAGGCCTACAATAAAAAAACTACATATTTCCATGCAAAATAATGGTACCACTTTCAGCACCAAAAATCTGAAATAATCATACCGCTAGGGAGGTTAATGAATGTGGCAAATCTCTGCTGATTTCCATCATTCAATCATGAGCAAGCAAAACTGCTTTTTTTTTTTTTTTTTCATTGGGCCTGATTGGGTATTACTTACAAAGTGAAGCTTCACCACATTCACTGTTTTTGCTCACAGAGGTCACATGATCAAAAGGTCCTGATTGCAAGTATGCATCAGGAGCTTTCAGTGACAGTTTAGTTACTGTGCTCGGAGTGCCTATCAGGGTAGTAATAATATTATAACACAAGTGGCTATATTTTACAGTGATAATAATTCAAGAATGATTTGCACTGAACGATAATGTGCACATTATCAATACATCCGAGGTAGGTTTCTGGTACCATATAAACCAATCAAATGTTTTAACAAATGCAAGTAACTTGGCATGCATGTGCTCTAATATCAGCGTCACCTTGAAAAAATGCCCCCAACAGGGTCAAAAAATGGTTACGCTTCTGCTGCCATGCCTTCCACATAGTTGTCATATATCAGCTGATCTTGAGAATAATATCTATAAATGTCAGCAGGGGTAAATCAATCAAAATGTCAGTTGCAACTCCCCTAGCGAGGATAAATCTCATAGAGATGAAAACATAGTGATAAAGATATTACATAATAGCTGGGAGCTACTATGGAGCAATAAATTACATTTACTCCAAATACAAATATGCTGTCTGTACAGTCTCTAAAGATCAAGAAAGAGATGTCCCCTGAGCCATCAGTATGTGTTCTGAAAGTACCTGGTATATCCCTAATATTGAGTAGCTGAAGAAGTCGTACTGTATATGTAGTATCACAGATTATAGAGCCAATTATATATACCACCTGGAGATGTCAAGTCTTATATATTAGGAGATAAGTTGGTCAGAGTCTCTGAAGAAGTGTATAAAGCATGGTTTCTTAACCAGGGTTCCATGGAATCCTAGGGTTCCTCCAGCAGTTGCTAAGGATTTCTTGATATTGAGAAAACACCACTGATCTTTTCAGCTATCTGTAAGGGGGTAATTCTTTCCAATGACCACAAGTGTTGGGAGCATTCTTCCCACAGACTATCACACTAATGTATCCTGAGTTGTAGATACAGTGAGGCAAAAAAGTATTTAGTCAGCCACCAATTGTGCAAGTTCTCCCACTTAAAAAGATGAGAGAGGCCTGTAATTGGCATCATAGGTAGACCTCAACTATGAGAGACAAAATGAGAAAAAAAAATCCAGACAATCACATTGGCTGATTTGGAAAGAATTTATTTGCAAATTATGGTGGAAAATAAGTATTTGGTCACCTACAAACAAGCAAGATTTCTGGCTCTCACAGACCTGTACCTTCTTCTTTAAGAGGCTCCTCTGTCCTGCACTCATTACCTGTATCAATGGCACCTGTTTGAACTTGTTATCAGTATAAAAGACACCTGTCCGCAACCTCAAACAGTCACACTCCAAACTCCACTATGGTGAAGACCAAAGAGCTGTCGAAGGACACCAGAAACAAAATTGTAGACCTGCACCAGGCTGGGAAGACTGAACCTGCAATAGCAAGCAGCTTGGTGAGAACAAATCAACTGTGGGAGCAATAATTAGAAAATGGAAGACATACAAGACCACTGATAATCACCCTCGATCTGGGGTTCCACGCAAGATCTCACCCCGTGGGGTCAAAATGATCACAAGAACGGTGAGCAAAAATCCCAGGACCACACGGGGGGACCTAGTGAATGACCTGCAGAGAGCTGGGAGCAACGTAACAAAGGCTACCATCAGTAACATACTACGCCACCAGGGACTCAGATCCTGCAGTGCCAGACATGTGCCCCTGCTTAAGCCACTATATGTCTGGGCCTGTCTGAAGTTTGCTAGAGAGCATTTGGATGATCCAGAAGAGGATTGGGAGAATGTCATATGGTCAGATGAAACCAAAATAGAACTGTTTGGTAGAAAAACACAACTCGTCGTGTTTGGAGGAGAGAGAATGCTGAGTTGCATCCAAAGAACACCATACCTACTGTGAAGCATGGGGGTGGCAACATCATGCTTTGGGGCTGTTTCTCCGCAAAGGGACCAGGACGACTGATCCATGTACAGGACAGAATGAATGGGGCCATGTATCGTGCGATTTTGAGTGCAAACCTCCTTCCATCAGCAAGGGCATTGAAGATGAAACGTGGCTGCGTCTTCCAGCATGACAATGATCACAAACATACCGCCCGGGCAACAAAGGAGTGGCTTCATACGAAGCATTTCAAGGTCCTGGAGTGGCCTAGCCAGTCTCCAGTTCTCAACCCTATAGAAAACCTTTGGAGGGAGTTGAAAGTCCGTGTTGCCCAGCAACAGCCCCAAAACATCACTGCTCTAGAGGAGATCTGCATGGAGGAATGGGCCAACATACCAGCAACAGTGTGTGCCAACCTTGTGAAGACTTACAGGAAACGTTTGACCTCTGTCATTGCCAACAAAGGATATATAACAAAGTATTAAGATGAACTTTTGATATTGACCAAATACTTATTTTCCACCATAGTTTGCAAATAAATTCTTTCCAAATCAGCCTATGTGATTGTCTGGATTTTTTTTCTCATTTTGTCTCTCATAGTTGAGGTCTACCTATGATGCCAATTACAGGCCTCTCTCATCTTTTTAAGCGGGAGAACTTGCACAATTGGTGGCTGACTAAATACTTTTTTGCCCCACTGTATAGTAATTTTTATCAGGGGTTTCCTGAGACTGCAAAGTTATTTCAAGGGTTCCTCTGTGTTGAAAATGTTGAGAAATGCTGGTATAAAGCATCTTAAATCCACAAATAGTGAATATATGAGCATCATTTTCTCAAGATGTCTGAAAATATATGAAGTCCCAAGTATACAACAACATTGCCATCTTGTTGGAAACCAGGACTAAGTGCACCAAAGTCACATGGCTTTGGCATTCTTGGTCCCGGTTCTGTACATCATGGTTCTTCACATGATAATAGTTTTCATTATAGCCTCTCCAAATTGAAAAAAAGATTGCTCTTGAACCAACAATAATACCTCTAACATGTTGAAAACCAAAACCAAAGCCTTGTGACTTTGGAGTTCTTTGTCCTGGTTCAGACATGCTGGTGGCAGTGCCAGATAAGGGGCAAAAAGAGCAATTGCCCTAGCCTCCCTACTAGAGGGGGGCCCAGACCTTTCTAAAAAAAAAATGGAATAATTATAAAATTAGTTTTATTGTTTAAAAAAATGAACAAAGTGTGTGTGGGTGCCAGCATATGGAACAGTTAAGCCTGACTTCAGAAGCAAAGAAGGGGATAAGAGGTTCTGGAAGATTTTTTACATTTCAACTTCTAATGTTATTTTACTATTTTAGATGTTTGTTTTAACATGACTATGTTGCAAAATTTATGGCCTTGCTTATGAGAGACAAGTGGTTGGAACAAGGGAAATGTTTGAAAAATGTTGGAAAATGCCAGGCAACAGCCCTGACCTCAAAATCAGACAAGTATCTTCTTCTGAACCTAACATATTTTTGTTTAGAACAAATGTGGTTTATCATTCTGTAGCACCCCTCTAGTTAGCCAGGGGGAGATAGCTAGGTTTTTTTAGGCAGAGGCAGAGCCTGGGCATGAGTCAGCCTTGGTGTAAGTCAGCCAGGTCACCTTGGGTCAGGGCTGAGGGCTCTGCAGATTAGTTCCCTGAACCCCCCCCTGCTCTAGAGACTTGAGAAGTTTCTAGAAGGCAGTGTGTGGGGTTGAGGAGGGGCTGATCTGCATGTCTGAGGGATCTTGACCAATCCCCAAGCAGGAGGCTTGGCATGGGGTCAAGACAGTCCTCAGATATGATTGAGCCTGATCAGCAGGAAGTGGTCAGTGTGCTCCCGGTGAAAGATGGAGTTTGAGGCTGGAGTGTGGTCCCTTGCAGGGGGCATATGGAATGGGTCTACCTACAGGCTGATTTTTGAAGAAGGGACCTCCACTGTGTCACCGTCTATTAAGAGGGACAGCCTAAGCAGCAGGGAAGGAGCCAGCCCAGCAGAAGGCCTGAAGGCAGCCACCAACCCATAAAGCTATCAGGAAGCCACAAGCTGTCACAGCCTGGTGCCCACACTGCAGATGCGGGCACCTGGAATACAGGACGGCCGGTGAAACAGGCTGCGGCGGGGGCACCACGGGATCGTGGGACAGGTGAGTGGCTGTTTTTTATAAGTCAGCAGCTACAGTTTTTGTAGCTGTTGGTTGACTTTTATTTTTTACAGATTGAGTGGAACTCCGCTTTAAGGAATAACAGGTAAATAGTATACATGGAGATGAGGGCGC